CACTCTGCAAAAGGCAGAAGAACATTGCGGTTCCCTGGGACCGGCCCAGCACGTTCCACCCTGAGCCCACTGCCCCCAGGCTGGCCGGCCGGGGCTCACCCCGAGGGATCTGCTGCAGCACCCCCTTCCCTTCCAGCACCCTTGAGCCCCGCTGCAGCTGGCCAGCGCCTCCCAGCGAGGAGCCACGGAGCTTGGGGGGCTGCATCAGTGGGGCTTTTAGGGCTCCTTGTGGCCAGCGAGCTGGGGGTGCCCGTGAGCTCGCAGTGGCCACAGGCCTCCCCTGTCCTTGGCCCGGCCAGGCACTGGCCCGTGGATCAGAGAGAAGGACTGGGGTGCCCAACTCCAGCTGCCTGGAGCACCGACCCACCCACCCGCAGCTGTTGCTGAGGGCGGTGGGACCTGGAGGCTCTGAGCGTCTCCGACTGACCAGGCCCCCGGTGTCAGAAGCTGGAGCCAGAGCGACCTGGGTGCAGAGCTCCCCGGAGAACAAGGAGAGCCCGGGCAGAGGCCCGTCCTGGCCTCTTTTCCTGCCACCCTGCAGCCTCCCAGCAGGGGGCAGCTGAGCACCATCCAAATTCCCTGTCAACTGGGACACTATTTCCTGGGCCAGCTGCTGCTCCCAGCCCAGAGCCCAGGCTGGCACTGAAATGCGGGCGAGTCCCTGGGCTGAGCAAGGCTGGGGCCATCCCGCTGATCCTCCCTCTGCCTCTGGGAGCAGAACTGGGCCCTTTCCCAGCGAGCGAGTCCCTGCTCAGCGGTGCCGGGTGCCGGGCCTGAGCTGTTCTGAACGGAGCCAGCCCAGACGGTCAGCGCTCACCAGGCTGGCTCGTGGGCTGACCCGTTACACTTCCACCCCCCCCCATTGCAGTGCACCGGCAATGCCCCCCAGGTGCTGGGCCCCCAGAGGTAGTGGATTCTGGGAGCCCCAGTGCACTGTGGGACAGTTGAAGAAGGACTATTACAGACGAGTGCAGGCTGGAGCGGGACCGGCCTGTCTCAGTGTCTGACCCTGTACGGCTCCTGGGAGCCCTTGGGGGCGGGGGGGAGAGTTGTGTGCCCAGTTTGCTGTTTGCAGGGTCGGCTCCAGGCACCAGCTTGGCAAGCAGGTGCTTGGGGCGGCCACTTCGGGGAGGGGCGGCAGGTCCAGCTATTCGGCGGCAATTCGGCGGACGGTCCCTCACTCCCGCTCGGAGCGAAGGACCTTCCGCCGAATTGCCGCCGCAGATCGGGACCTGCCGCCCCTCCCCGAAGTGGCCGCCCCAAGCACCTGCTTGCCAAGCTGGTGCCTGGAGCCGACCCTGCAAACAGCAAACTGGGCACACAACTCTCCCCCCCG